AAAAAAAAAAAAAAAAATAGAGAATCAGGCCAGGCCTGGTGGATCACACCTATAATCTTAGCACTTTAGGTGGCCAAAGCAGGTGGATTGCTTGAGCTCAGGAGTTTGAGACCAGCCTGAGCAAGAGCAAGACCTCGTCTCTACTGAAAATAGAAAAACTAGCTGGGCGCTGTGGTGGGTGCCTGTAGTCCCAGCTACTCAGGAGTCTGAGCTAAGAGGATTGCTCAAATCCACGAGTGTGAGGTTGCTGTGAGCTATGATGATGCCACAGTACTCTACCCAGGGCAACAGAGTGAGACTTTGTCTCAAAAAAAAAAAAAAAAGAAAAATGGATGACATATTCTGAGCCTCCCATTTACCCCAGTCACACTCTTCCCTCCATTTTAGAAGCAAGAATTCAGAAAGCATCATGCCGTCCTAAGAAAGATGGGAAAAGCAACTCCCCTAGTGCCCTCCTCGGTTGAAGCACCCTTCTCCCCAACACAGACGTGGCGTACTACTCTCCTCTCCTGTAGAATGGTTATAATAATAACACCATGTCAGACGGGGAGCCTCTCATAAAGTCTCCTTCCTTCAAACCTACCCTTCGCTCAGCTCTTCATCCACTGGTAATTATGATGGCCTCCTCCCCTATCTCATCTCCAGGTCCCCACTCTAAGTCCAGATGTAAAATCACAGATACTTTCTCAGGGGTGGAAAAGTTCTCTTCTACCCTCAGCAGTCGTTCTCAAGACTCAAAATGTGATCTGTGGACCCAGCAGCTCGGTCAAACGCTGGGTTAGAAATGCAGAATCTTATGCCCCATTTCAGACCTACTGAATTCTAACAAGGTCCCAGGGGGTAATCTGCACACACCTTATAGTATGAGAAATGCTGGTCGACAGCACACCAAAGAGCATCACTCTAATAAATGCTGGGAATTATCAGTGGGATCCCGCTCTGAAGGCAGGGGCCAATTCCCTATCCCTAGCACCATGGGCAGGGCCTGACACATAGCTGTGCTCAAGAAGCATTTGCTGAGTGAGTGAACAAAGGGATTTGTACCTGCCTTGCCAGCCCTATTTTGCCACTCCAGGCTCCGTCCCAACCTCTAGCCACAACCCTGGGTGAACCTTCCCCAGAGACCAGACTGTACTGGGAGGCCGGAAGAAAGGCTATACCGTCCCCTCACCTTGGTCACTCGACAGGAGTCCTCCAGCTGAGTGATGATGGTCTGCACACGGTCATTCCCCGCCACCAACATGGAGATACAGTTACTCAGTTCAGTCTAGATTGGGGGTGGGGGAGGTCAGGAGAGGAGAGACAGAAATAGCTTCAGGATTGGCCTGCTAGAGCATGGCAACAGTGGTGGCTCTCTCCCTCCCTTCTCCGCTAGAAAGTGCGTCCAGTAGGTGTGTGTCCTTCTTTCTGGGGTGTAGCTCAGGTCCAGAGCAGAGGATATCAGAGAGATAGTGCATCCCTTATTTTACAGATGAGGCCAAGAGTAGGGAAGTGAATTGCTGAAAACATACAGCAAGGTACTAGCAGAGGAGAGGCTAGTTTCTAAGAAAGAAGGGACTAATTAAATAGTGTCAGAGAGGCCTAGAAGAGAGACAGCACAAGAAGACTAGGAGTGGGGAAGAAAAAGCACGGAAAGGGGGGCTGGAGCTTACTACATGGACAGGATAGTGGGGACCCCACCAGTCCAGGGGCCCAGGAAGAGGGTTCTAAGCTGCCTTCTACTGTAGGGGATGTGAGCAGTTCAGGAAGATATATCTGGGGCCCAAAGTATGCCAGGAGGAAAGGCCATGGCCTGAGAGAGCCCTGGTGGCCTGGCCCTGGGGTCTGTCCTCTCCCCTGTGGCCACACCCAAGTGTTCTCAAGTGGCTCTAAGTATAACCCATGAGTTCAGCCACCTCCCCCAGGGAAGCATGGGCTGCTGTCCCTGCGGCTTGGGAAGTCCCTCCAGAGGGACTATTCCTGAAGGGCCAGCTCAGCAGATCTCTGGGGATCAGATCTACCTCCTAAATCATACAGCCATGCCCAGCAGGTCCAGGCAGGGATAGAAGTAGCTGGAGCCAGTACCTTTTGTCCCTGAAAGACACTCTGCAGCGGGGCCACTTCACAGGCCTGGTGGGCCCCAAACACCTTGCACATGGAGCATGTGGGCACCTCGCATGTGAGACAGTAGATGTTGATTTTCTCATCTTCATGTTCCTTGCACATGGGGTGGCTGCCCTTCTGCAGGGGCCGACTGAAGAGGAAAATAGTCACAGTCACGAGGAGGGTACTGAGTTCCTATCTCCTCCCTACCAGCTCCAATCATAGGAGGCTACCCTAGACTTACACCTTGAACTTTCAGTGGCTGGCTGCCCCCAAACCTTTTCTTTTCGTCCTCAGGGGACCCAAGACCTGGGAAGCCAATGACACCAAACCTGTCCCCATATCCCAAGACTCAATCTGCAGTGATGGCATTTGCCTAAGGCTCTGCCAGTGTAGAGGACATGGAAGGTTCATAGAATTCCGGAGTCGTTTCAGTATGCCTGGAGGCATTTTAGAGAGGAGGAAACTGGATTTCCAGAAAAGTAAATTGACTTGCCCAAGGTCACCCAGGAAGTCAGGACAGGGGAGGCTAGTGTTCATTTGCTCTAATTATAGTCATCATAGCTTTTGCTTACTGCAGGCTGGGCTCTGAGCTAAGTAATTTAAACTGATGGCCTCATTTAATTCTATATTTAATCCATCAGACTGTAACCTCCTTCAAGGCAGGGAAACTTGTCTGTTTTCTTCACCCTTGAACCTACACTGTACAGTACCTGGCTTGAAAGAGATGTCAGTTAAATATAGGTAGAAAGAACAAGTCAATAAAGTCAATAACTAGTATAGCAGTTAAGACTATTCGGGCTCGGCGCCTATAGCTCAACCGGCTAAGGCGCCAGCCACATACACCTAAGGTGGTGGGTTCGAATCCCCAGCCCGGACCCGCCAAACAACAAAAAAAACCGCAAACAAAAAAAAAAAAAAAAAAATAGCCGGGCGTTGTGGCGGGCGCCTGTGGTCCCAGCTACTTGGGAGGTGGAGGCAGGAGACTCGCTTGAGCCCAGGAGTTGGAGGTTGCTGTGAGCTGTAATGCCACGGCACTCTACCCAGGGTGACAGCTTGAGGCTCTGTCTCAAAAAAGAAAAAAAAAGACTATTCACCATGGAGTGAGTCACACCCTTTCTCTCTCAGCTTCACTACTTGTTAGCTGTGTGGCTTTGGACAAACCTCTGACCTTCTCTGAGTCATGAGGATGCCCCCCAGGATTGGAGAGCAGCAGTGTGTGTGTGCCCCAAGTCATACAACTAGTAGGTGAGTAGCCCAGCACAAGCCCATACTCCTAGTCCAGAGGTTCTTCTGAGAAGAACCATAGCATACTTCTTCTGAGAAGAACCATAACATACTTTCTTAGAATGCTTTCTCCTGGGCGGAACCTGTGGCTCAGTGAGTAGGGCGCCGGTCCCATATACCCAGGGTGGTGGATTCAAACCCAGCCCCCGCCAAACTGCAGCAAAAAATAGCCCAGTGCTGTGGCAGGCACCTCCCAGCTACTCGGGAGGCTGAGGCAAGAGAAAATCACCTAAGCCCAAGAGCTGGAGGTTGCTGTGAGCTGTGATGCCTTGGCACTCTACCAAGGGTGACAAAGTGAGACTCTGTCTCTCAAAAAATAAAGAATGCTTTCTCCTGGCTTGGCACCCATGGCACAGTGGTTATGGTGCCAGCCACATACACAAGGTCCAGGTTCAAACCCAGCCCAGGCCAACGAAACAAATGCAACAAAAAATAGCTGAGCAGGTGCCTGTAGTCTGAGGCTGAGGCAAGAGAATCGCTTAAGCCCAAGAGTTGGAGGTTGCTGTGAACTGTTACACCATGGTATTCTACCAAGGGTGATATAGTGACATTTGTCTCAAAAAAAAAAAAAAAAAAAGAATAACATGCCTTCTGGCGTGTTATTTGGGCTTCTCTCAGGGCATCGGTCATTTCTTTTCTTCCTTCCTTCCTTTTAGGCTACTCAAGTGAAGCAGTGGGAGAGAAGAAGGAACAAAGAATCTGTAACTGGTTGTGATCAATTAGTTGTAAACACCACTGCACTTGGAGCCACCATGCTCATTTCTTAACCTGGATTTGATCTTTGGAGTCTAGGCGCCCCCACCACACCCACTAACCTACACGCTCATTTAGAGCCACGCCGTATCTACATCACCTGACTCCCAGCCCCTAACATAACAGGCATCTCACAAGCATAGAATGGGGACTGCCCCATTCCAGGTGTCAACACCTCAGCGCCAAACACTTGCATGACTGGTCACACCTGGGATTATTGTCCCCTCAAGTTCTTTTAAGCCCCTTTCCAGAATTGTCTTTTGGCTTCTTTGCCCAGGCTCCCTAGTCTCTCTTTGCCACCTGCCTCCATCCACTGGTAAGGAAGGCCAGGACTGTAGGAAGTGCAGGGGTGAGCAAGGGTTGGTGTCTGTGCCCCTGCCCTCCCAGGTGCCCACCCTCTCAGGCCCAGGCTTTGGCATCTGGTTCAAACCAGATTGTTCTACCACTTATTCACTTCGTGATTTCGGATGAGTGATTTCGTCTCTCTAAGCCGGGGTTTCCTCCCAGAGCCACTGCAATCATGACAAAAGTTGTCTGTGATTAATGTCTACCGCCTGGCACAGAAGGGACCTTCAATAAAGGGCAGCTGTCATTGTCATTCAACTATGCAGAAAGTCCTCAAAGACTTCAAACACAACACGCTCTTCATAGGTCGACAGTGAATGGGCTAATAATTAGCATGATACTAATTTTATTATTGTCCCAGTGATCAATGATATCATTGATTTGCATTTTTGTGGCATTGATCTCTAGCAACATGAGAGACAATCGAGCATAGCTCTGTTAAGAATATTCCCCATGGAGTCAGTCATTCTCTCTCACCTTCATCACTTGCCAGCTGTGTGTCCTTGTATAAAACTCTGACCCTGTCTGAGCCTCCATTTCTCCAGGGTAAAATGGAGACAAAAATACCTTACAGGGTTTCTGTGACGATGACAGGGAAAAATGCCTGGAAAGTACTTAGTACAAGGCCTGCACACAGTAGGTGCCCAATAAATATTTGATATTTTAAACATTTTTCATCAATATCCTATTTGACAATCACGATAACAGACCTAATTGTCTGTTTCCTTTTGCAGATGGTGGAAATGAAACTCCAAAGCTTCAGAAATCGTATGTACATCACTCACAGAGGCAGACAAGCACACACAGTTCCCAGGCAGGGATGGGTTCTCCCCAGATCTGATTCCTCATCTTCCCTTAGGCAGGGCACTGCCTGCAGGCAGGTGTTTGGTGAAGGTTTTGGACCATAAAGGCTGTGAGGTCAGCAGCCAGGGAATTTTGTCAGAACATTCTGATTTGGGTAGTGCCTGTGGCTCAAAAGGGTAGGGTGCTGATCCCATATGCTGGAGGTGATGGGTTCAAACCCAGCCCCGGCCAAAAACAGCAATAAAA